TTCAACCTCAGCGTTTGAGTAGTATACAATTTGAATTTAATGGCGAAATTTATGTACGTATGTATGTATGTGTTGCCTAAAGCCTCATCGGTATAGCATTTTGAACTTTGCATCTCTAATTGTCAATAATAATCGCGAAATTGTAAAAATAATTTAATTGGCAGTTAAAATTGGCAATAACGGTAGCTGTGTATATATGTGTGTAGCTGTTGCTATTCATTTCAATAATCTGTTTGCGACGCAATTTATCAAATAATTTGAATAGTGAGAACTGTCTGCTTTCAGAACAGGAACTAGCCGCATKTGCAGCGCAGAAAAAATATCCAAATGAATCGGAAATTGTGTTATTAAAGACAGGTAGTTTTAAATAAAGCTGAAAGAAATTAAGTAGAAATATAAGAAATACTAGTTTTATATTTTTAGTCTAAAATTAATCTTATTTGTTGGTTTTACCATATATCAAGATTTGAATAGAGCGATCATAGACATATATCATATTTTGGAGATTATTTTATATGTTATGTCACAKGCGGACAGTAGCGATATGAAGCCAAGGTTCAAGCCACAAAATATACCTTGAAATTGTCTTTTAGAATAGTTTTGTTTACATAATGATTTTTTGCAATAATTTAAAACTAGACAAGTTAGATATAGCGTAATGATATCGAAATGGGCGGGATGACGCGACCAAATGAATTCCAGATCTCTGTTTGTTATGCTTCTGCGCAATCGATATCTGGAATTACCATCGATACATAAAAAACGGCATTAAAGGAAAAATCCCAAAGTAGGTACAGCTAGARCCACACCAACTAAGAAAATAAATGTCTTGCTACATATAGCATCGGTGGATATAACCGCGAAAGCTTACCACAGACTCAAAAAATCTGGGTACTTATATTAGATGTTTGTGAGCGTGGGCAGTTTGGAATACCTACACACTTCGATTTAATACTAAAATAATTGGTGTTAACGACGCCGAACCTAGCACTGATTCTCACTTTTCTGATAACATATTTTCGAGTAGGGGATGGGAAGTTAAAACTCGTTGGAGAAGAGGGGCGATGAGCTTTTTTTTACGGATTGTAGGTACTAAAGTCTCAATAAATGCGAAATAGAAACGAGTAGAAGCGCTGTTGCATTCCTTTAGTTCATTACCCAGCAAGCGTTGGTCAACTACCAGCAGCTGTGCAATCGCAAAGTCCTTGTGATCCAGGGTAAATCGCAAGTGGTCTCGGGAACTCTTCGCTCTCAGCAATGCTTACCTTTTAATAGTTGTATCAGTGCTAATCGTGCATAATTTCCTATCGGAATTCATGCAGTAAGACTGAATATACATATTACTGCATGCCAGGTGCGTCAGCTATTGGAAGAACATAAATTAGAATCATCCCAACACTTGTTACTCCAATGTCCCGCTTTTGCCAGATAAAAGCAAATACACTTCGRATTTCATACTTTTTAACGTCCAGGTGGAAAAGCGAAAATGAAAATAAAACACTGAAGCAGATTTGTAATAGATTCAGTGAGTTTTTGCCGATAGGTAAAGGCAAYTACAGGAGTTTTTCATTTCACACAGCGAAGGACTGTACATAGTTGAATTTCGTTATTTAATGTGATAGAAAAAAATGGCAGAAACTTAGATGAAACTAGGTAGATACGTTTCCACAATATAATATTTCCTCTAGTCTCAAATTATATTAATGAATAATAGGAAAAGTTTTATAAAACCTATATCCATCAATAGGTTAGGTTAAGTTAAGTTAGGTTAGGTTACTCTGATCGTGAGCCACGCATAGATCAGTTTTGATAGTTATCAAAGCCAGTTGGCCTGCTGTTACGTAGATGTGTTCCAACATTAAATTAAAGTTTTAAAAATTATTTCAGATTTATATACTTTTATGATTTAAACGATTTTTTATATTCAATTATATTTTATTATATTTATGTATATCATTATTATTGTGTAATATGCAAACATATATAATGTTTAAATATCATACTTGTTCTTGTATATATTTTCGTCACTTCTTTATGCTCATTAAAACTTATAACCAATAACTTTGCAATCTTTAACAATTTCTCTTTTCGTCTTCCTATGGCAACTTTCTTTTTGTGCGCTACCCTTCTTCTTATTCTAAAAAAGTAGCAAAAAAATAAGCTTTTCAAGATCAAGCTAATTTCATGTCTTTCTATCTATACGCATGCATTTATATAGGATTATAAGTGATTCTACCACTAAGCAACATCACATCGCATAATACATAAAATAAGTTTTATATAACCATAGTAAAAACTAAAATTCATGAAATTAAAAAATATTTAAAAAGTAACGTTATATTAAATTAAAGAAATATATTTCAATGAAATGTAAAAATCAAATAAGGAGAAAAAAATTACAATATAAAACTAAAGATAAATATATTAAACAAAAACAAAAAATCTATGTGAAATGAAAAAGTATTAA